ACATTTTGCAGATTATGAAATAATTTTTTCATCCAAAATAAAAGTTCGTATCTAGTTCTAGTTGTAGTGGTGTATCATACCTTTTGCAATCGTATCAAATGAGTATTCGACTTTGTCGAGCTTGTGAATATCGTTTGCTGAGTCCAACTCCGCCATTTGCAAATTATGATTTTTTAAACGGCCAAGTATACAAATTCCTTTAGTTTTGAAAGACATTCTATTCAGATTACCACCAATCCATATGTCTTTCAATTTCATCCTCCCCTTTCAAGTATTTTATATGCCAAAGAATAAACTCTACAACTTTTATCACCCTCACATATCCTCTATTGCTACAGCTGTAGATATTGAGATTTTGAGAATACGCTTCAAGGACCAATGGTTAATGATGGCTCTGATGGGTGGTTTTGCTAAAATAGTAAATAATGAGATCATCTTGAGCTAGCACAAAAAAAAAAAGCAAGAAAATCGCTTTTTAATGTCAATGATCAGTACCAGTAAATAAAATATAATGGAAGAAAGAACCCTATTCACCCGCAAGACCGATCAATATCCATGAACCTTTCCCTTCTCTCTGTTCCCTCCCTAAGCTTGTAATTACAACAAACGTGGCAAACTCTTGGACGAATTATCCGAAGAGGATTGTTTGACCGTAGCAAGAGCGCGAAAAATTAAGCATTTCTTATTACAACATTTTTTTTTGTACCAGAAGAATTTATCAATTATCTAGGAAAATATGTTGATCTAGCAGAAATCATTAGAGGGTTTCAATTGATCCTTTTCGGAGAATTAGATGGTCTTGCTGAACACACCTTTTATTTGGTAGGTGAAAGCTCAAGAACAACTAACCAAGAGGGGGGTGAATTGGTTATTTAATACTATTTTGGGAAATAAATGCAAATATAGGCAAATAATAATGAATAAACAAGATAACACAAAAACAATAAAAAGAATGGAAAATAGAGTGCAAACGATGTAATAAGGAGGTTCGATCCAATTACGATCTACGTCCCCCATTACCAAGCTCTCCATCACTAGCAATGCCTTTTTCACTATCTTTGATTGACTTATGGTGCAATCCAACCCTTACAATGCTTTTGGTGACTTACAATTAAGGAGCACCGATCCTTTTACACATTGAGCTTTACGGGACCTCAACACGACCCACAATTCAATGAACAAGAAAATCAAGGTTACACTTGAAAAGCTTCTCTCTTAACAAATGATATGAATACAACGAAGTATTAAGAGAGAGGTAGGCACAACGCCTCAATAAATCACAAAAAATATAACTCAAGTTGTTCTGCGAAAGATTTTTATCGAGATATATGATTTTTTACAAAGTTACTTACTCAAAATTTTTTTTCAACAAATAAATATTTTGACCTTTTAAAAATTGAGAAATAAGGTACATAAGATTAATAAGTAACTCTCTTTAATGCTCTAAAAAATCACTCTTTAAGGAAGTAAAAAGAAAGGTATTTATAGCCATCAATCGGGAGATCCAGACACTTGATTCGGACGTCCTCTTGGTATCCGGACGTGAAACTAGCCATTTGTCAAATAGTTAAAAAATTTGACCGTTGGACATCTCATCCTGACGTCCGGACGACCCTATCCGGACATCCGGATGGCCTTTTATTTTCCCACCAAGCTTTTTCCTTTTTATTACAGAAAGTTTCTTTAAGGTATTTTAACGGATTTCTTATATACTTTTTATAGTTAAGTAATTTCATAAAGGTTTGATTTGTGAAAATTAAATTACTTATCTTTTGAAAAATAATTTTTATGCAAGTAAAGTTTGTTATAATAATTCCTGCGCATAAAGGTTGTTTGAGCTATGATCGAAGCGAAATATTAAAGTGTTTTACCTTTACACTTAAGTATACAAATGCATCTATAGCTAATGTCTTCAATTTTTTCATCCAATGCAATTTGGTGTGTGAGAGCTCGATTTTCATTTCCTTGTTCGTAAATCTTGTCTGTATATCATTTTGCACTAAGGTTACATGATTCTCGAACTAAATTTTTCGTGTCATAAATTTGCAATAATCACTGTCAATCACTTAAATTCAATTTGTTAGAATTAAACGCAATTTATTTGTAATAATCAAAATAAGAAATCAACCATTAGGTCAACATTAGGTAATATTGATGAAGCTACCGCGAAGACTATGAAATTAGAAATGGAGAACAATTTGAAGAAATGACTTTAGTTTTTTGTGTATTGACCCCTAACCGAATTGTTTGGGATTCAAAAGTGAAAGAAATCATTTTATATACTAAAAGTGGTCAAATTGGCGTATTATCAAATCATGCCTCTATTGCTACAGCTGTAGATATTGAGATTTTGAGAATACGCTTCAAGGACCAATGGTTAATGATGGCTCTGATGGGTGGTTTTGCTAAAATAGTAAATAATGAGATCATCTTGAGCTAGCACAAAAAAAAAGCAAGAAAATCGCTTTTTAATGTCAATGATCAGTACCAGTAAATAAAATATAATGGAAGAAAGAACCCTATTCACTATCTAAGCAAATTGGCCAAAGTTGTGCGTTCATGAGCCCATGCTAAACTTCCAGGAACATTTCATTTCACATATTTCTCTTCAAAAATGAAAAATGCGTATTTTTCTTTAATTTTCGAACTAAAATGTATGTAAATCAAATGAAAGTAAGCGGGTCAACCCGCAAGACCGATCAATATCCACGGACCTTTCCCTTCTCTTTGTTCCCACGCTAAGCTTGTAATCACAACAAACGTGGCAAACTCCTATTGGCCTACTTCACGTGGCGTGAAATATTATTGGCTGAAGCAACTCGACGCACAGTTCCCCAGATTTATGGTGTATAATAATATGTTTACACAGATATATAAATAATTAATATCACCCCACCCCTAGGCACCCCCTCAAACTAAGTAGTCTTTAGTTTCAAGAGACTTCTTCGTCTCCTGTATCTTACAGATCGATCGATCGATAAAATTCTGCAATTTCTCCTTGTTCATGATAAATTTTCAGATCTGAGAATCGAAATTTTCTAGGGTAAAACAATGGAGGATTCGAAACGGAAGATTTGGACTGTGTGGAAAATAGAGTGCAAACGATGTAATAAGGAGGTTCGATCCAATTACGATCTACGTCCCCCATTACCAAGCTCTCCATCACTAGCAATGCCTTTTTCACTATCTTTGATTGACTTATGGTGCAATCCAACCCTTACAATGCTTTTGGTGACTTACAATTAAGGAGCACCGATCCTTTTACACATTGAGCTTTACGGGACCTCAACACGACCCACAATTCAATGAACAAGAAAATCAAGGTTACACTTGAAAAGCTTCTCTCTTAACAAATGATATGAATACAACGAAGTATTAAGAGAGAGGTAGGCACAACGCCTCAATAAATCACAAAAAATATAACTCAAGTTGTTCTGCGAAAGATTTTTATCGAGATATATGATTTTTTACAAAGTTACTTACTCAAAATTTTTTTTCAACAAATAAATATTTTGACCTTTTAAAAATTGAGAAATAAGGTACATAAGATTAATAAGTAACTCTCTTTAATGCTCTAAAAAATCACTCTTTAAGGAAGTAAAAAGAAAGGTATTTATAGCCATCAATCGGGAGATCCAGACACTTGATTCGGACGTCCTCTTGGTATCCGGACGTGAAACTAGCCATTTGTCAAATAGTTAAAAAATTTGACCGTTGGACATCTCATCCTGACGTCCGGACGACCCTATCCGGACATCCGGATGGCCTTTTATTTTCCCACCAAGCTTTTTCCTTTTTATTAAAGAAAGTTTCTTTAAGGTATTTTAACGGATTTCTTATATACTTTTTATAGTTAAGTAATTTCATAAAGGTTTGATTTGTGAAAATTAAATTACTTATCTTTTGAAAAATAATTTTTATGCAAGTAAAGTTTGTTATAATAATTCCTGCGCATAAAGGTTGTTTGAGCTATGATCGAAGCGAAATATTAAAGTGTTTTACCTTTACACTTAAGTATACAAATGCATCTATAGCTAATGTCTTCAATTTTTTCATCCAATGCAATTTGGTGTGTGAGAGCTCGATTTTCATTTCCTTGTTCGTAAATCTTGTCTGTATATCATTTTGCACTAAGGTTACATGATTCTCGAACTAAATTTTTCGTGTCATAAATTTGCAATAATCACCGTCAATCACTTAAATTCAATTTGTTAGAATTAAACGCAATTTATTTGTAATAATCAAAATAAGAAATCAACCATTAGGTCAACATTAGGTAATATTGATGAAGCTACCGCGAAGACTATGAAATTAGAAATGGAGAACAATTTGAAGAAATGACTTTAGTTTTTTGTGTATTGACCCCTAACCGAATTGTTTGGGATTCAAAAGTGAAAGAAATCATTTTATATACTAAAAGTGGTCAAATTGGCGTATTATCAAATCATGCCTCTATTGCTACAGCTGTAGATATTGAGATTTTGAGAATACGCTTCAAGGACCAATGGTTAATGATGGCTCTGATGGGTGGTTTTGCTAAAATAGTAAATAATGAGATCATCTTGAGCTAGCACAAAAAAAAAAAGCAAGAAAATCGCTTTTTAATGTCAATGATCAGTACCAGTAAATAAAATATAATGGAAGAAAGAACCCTATTCACTATCTAAGCAAATTGGCCAAAGTTGTGCGTTCATGAGCCCATGCTAAACTTCCAGGAACATTTCATTTCACATATTTCTCTTCAAAAATGAAAAATGCGTATTTTTCTTTAATTTTCGAACTAAAATGTATGTAAATCAAATGAAAGTAAGCGGGTCAACCCGCAAGACCGATCAATATCCACGGACCTTTCCCTTCTCTTTGTTCCCACGCTAAGCTTGTAATCACAACAAACGTGGCAAACTCCTATTGGCCTACTTCACGTGGCGTGAAATATTATTGGCTGAAGCAACTCGACGCACAGTTCCCCAGATTTATGGTGTATAATAATATGTTTACACAGATATATAAATAATTAATATCACCCCACCCCTACGCACCCCCTCAAACTAAGTAGTCTTTAGTTTCAAGAGACTTCTTCGTCTCCTGTACGCTCTTACAGATCGATCGATCGATAAAATTCTGCATTTTCTCCTCGTTCATGATAAATTTTCAGATCTGAGAATCGAAATTTTCTAGGGTAAAACAATGGAGGATTCGAAACGGAAGATTTGGACTGTGCAGTGTGTCTTGCTTTTGTTGATCGGTTTATGCATTTCTCAGCTCTACGCTTCCGACGATGTGGTAAGACGCTGTCTATTTGTACGGAAAAGTGTAGTTTGGCTGAATACAAAAATTAGTTTCATCAACTTGCGTATGGGTAGGCAGCTGCAATAACATGGGATCTGATTTAGATTATTTGCCATTTTCTGGATCTGTGGTCTTTATGAGAAACTGAATTTTTTTTTTTTAAATATGTTATTGTCTATTTATAGAAATTCTATGACTCGTTTGACGATGCATTTGACGGGCGGTGGGTTGTGTCCAAGAAGGAGGATTATACAGGTATGATCTGTTTGGATCTGTGAATTTATTTGTTTTTATTTTTTGTGCGAGAATGTGTTTAGTTTTAAATCTGAATTGAAGAACTTAAGTTTTTGGCTGGCTTCGTGCTTGAGATTCAGTGCTTTCTCGATTTGAATTCAATTTGCATACTGGTTATAAAAATAATTTGTCTCCAAACTCAAATCTAATTTGTTGGCGTGGCAAGTATGTAAGGTTTTACTGGTAATGACTTGTTAAACAAAATTCAGTTTTGATGATAAGTGTCGCAGTGTGAAATGCAGAATGGTAATTTCGTTATAGAAGATCAAGAAATCTAGTATGTAGTTATATTATATAATTTATATTTCTGTATAAGCAGTATGGGACACGGATTTTTACTTATACAAAACGAGCAAATCCTTTGTACTACAAAATACTTTTTGATTACTTGAAAATTGAAACTATATTCCTGCTGCTGCAATTTTTGTAGCTGAGGAATCGAGAAATTTAATCTACAGTTGTCTTGTATAATCATTAACTGACACTGGATTCTTCCTTGTACAAAATGAGCAAATCCTTTGTAGTAAAACCAATGGTTTGGGGTTTTATATGTTTCTTGGGTCTCTGTTTATTGTGTTAAACACTTGTGAAACGCTAGTCACCAAGTGAACTTTCATGTGAGGATGTAAAATGCTCATTGATCACTTGAAATTCTACTAGTTGCTGGTACTCCTGGTTTGAAGCAGTAGATGATTATACAATCATATTACTTATCAATGACCGAATTGTTGTTTTGCAGTAATACTCTAGCAAAGGTCATTATTATTTGACGAGTTGTGTATTCACTTGTTAAACAAGACATATATTCATGCTATGTCACGTGTGCATTATGGAACGTATTTTCATCTTGCAATTAATGGCTTACTTCCTGAGGATGCAATAATCGTGCATTTGTGCTTACGCTGATGTGTAAATGGTTGTCAGGTGTGTGGAAACACTCAAAGAGTGAGGGACATGATGATTACGGGCTTCTTGTGAGTGAGAAGGCCAGGAAACATGCAATTGTAAAGAAACTTGATGAACCTATTGACCTTAAGGATGAGACTGTTGTCCTTCAATATGAGGTTCGCCTCCAGAATGGTCTTGAATGTGGTGGTGCTTATCTCAAGTACCTGCGTCCTCAGGATGCTGGCTGGACTCCCGAGGGATTTGATAATGAATCTCCCTACTCGATAATGTTTGGGCCTGATAAATGTGGGTCTACAAACAAGGTTCACTTCATTTTGAAGCAGAAGAACCCTAAGAGTGGAGAGTTTGTTGAACACCACCTCAAGTATCCACCATCTGTGCCTTCTGACAAATTGACCCACGTCTATTCTGCTATCCTGAAACCAGATAATGAGTTGAAGATCTTGATTGATGGAGAAGAGAAGAAGAAGGCTAATTTTCTCTCAGCTGAAGATTTTGAGCCACCACTCATCCCTGCTAAGACCATTCCTGATCCAGATGATAAGAAGCCTGAGGATTGGGATGAGAGAGCGCAAATCCCTGACCCAGAGGCCAAGAAACCAGATGACTGGGATGAGGATGCTCCAATGGAAATTGAAGATGAAGATGCTGTGAAGCCTGAGGGATGGCTGGATGATGAGCCCGAGGATATTGATGATCCTGATGCCACAAAACCAGAAGATTGGGATGACGAGGAGGATGGTGAATGGGAGGCTCCTAAAGTGGATAACCCCAAGTGTGGAGAGGCGCCCGGATGTGGAGAGTGGAAAAAGCCAATGAAAAGGAATCCCGCTTACAAAGGAAAATGGCATGCACCCCTCATTGACAACCCCAATTACAAGGGTATTTGGAAGCCCCAGGAAATTCCGAACCCTGACTACTTTGAGCTCGAGAAACCAAACTTTGAGCCCATCGCAGCCATTGGCATTGAGATCTGGACAATGCAAGATGGCTTGTTGTTCGACAATATTTTGATAGCTTCTAATGAGAAAGTTGCAGAAACCTACCGGCTAAGTGCATGGAAGCCAAAATTTGAGGTAGAGAAAGAGAAACAAAAGGAGGAGGAATCTACTGATTCAGAGGGTCTTAAAGGGATCCAGGTAGTTAGACAATCCTATTCTATGCATGCTTTTCACAATCTGCTTTCTGCTAGTTCAAATATCAACCGATTTTTAATTGTTGCAGAAAGTGGTATTTGACTACCTTTACAAGATTGCAGACCTCCCTGTGTTGGGTGATCACAAGGTCAAGGTCTTGGTAAGTCATCGAACAACAGTATTCTTGTGAACAAGTATTTTTCCAGTTACATTCAATGCTTAAACCTGGAATTTGATTTACAGGAGCTTATTGAGAAGGCTGAGAAGCAACCAAATGTGACAATTGGAGTCCTCGTCTCTATTATAATTGTTATCTTAACTCTTTTAGTGAAGATCATCTTTGGTGGGAAGAAGAAGCCTGTAAGAACTTTAAGTACCCCCTAATGGATCTTGTTGCCTGTGATTTACACTCTCCAGTTATAGGCATTTTCTGTTCCTTCCTCACGTACAACTTTGCTTTATGCAGGCCCAAACGGTTGTGGAAACAAAGGAACCTGATGTTGCTGAGACTTCCAATGATCAGGGCAGCACCGAGGAGAATGAAGAGCAAAATGAGGATGCTGCTGCTGCAGCTGCTCCTCGTCGGAGGAGCACCAGGCGTGACACTTAGGGAATGAATAATCAAAATGGAAGAAATGATTCATGGTCAGCCAACACTAGATTTTGGACTTACAGACGTTTCCCATCCCGAAATATTTTCACTTCATGACCTTTTGCAATTTTTGCTTATTTAGGTTTGTTATAGTAGTGTATGACAATGTATATTAGACAATCGAATGAGATTATTGTGTTTTCTTTTAACGTGGTTTTACAATTGAAGAAATTTTGAATATGATTGTCTCTAGTTTTTTGAACTTGAGCACTTTGTTTTGAACGAAAATGACTTGGTTCTTATAAACCAAAAATTTAAGTGCGATGATATTAATTTAGGGGTGGCAAACAATTTTAGTTGCTTGTGAGCTCATTTGAAATGAGTTCGCTTCTTCTTTTATTTTTTTTCCTTAACGAGCGAGCTGGTTTGGGCTTTTGTGGATTGGTTTGTTTGTCTCAATTAATTTCAATTTTGAAAAATTCAGTGCTTCTTTTTGAGTTCATTTTGTTTTAAGAGAGAGAGCATGTAACTAGTTTTATTTTAAGTGAGAGAGAGAGAGAGAGAGAGAGAGAGAGAGCATATAACTAGTTATCTCAGTTTTCTACTAGCAGCTTTAACTTCAGCTCTATCCGTTGGAAAAATTCTCAATCTATCTTTGAATAGGAGAAGGAATCAGTGTCATGTTTTGTTACTTGACCACTACGACCTCTAAAGGAAAAGAAGTATACTTGAAGGGCCATGGGGAACAGCAATAACCCCTAGATCCATCAATCGTTCCATCTCTGCTCTCCGAAAATGAAAAATCATCCCTGTTTTGGACACGGGACAATCTCGATCGTCCCTATTAAAAACCTTTCCATACTGTGAGACTAAGGTCGTCGATTCCAAAACCGGACAGGATAATCGACAGTCTTCAGCTAACATGACGCTACTTAAGACATTTGACGAGTTTTAATTTCAAAAATTCAATATTAACACCTTTTGGGCATTACGTCACGAGTGATTATAGAAAAGGTAAATGTATCATCATCACCACCATCAGAAGATTAATTTCTTGTGCAAAATATAATTTGCTTTTGGTGAAAGAAAGAAAAAGAACACAGCCTTTTCACAACAGGGAGTAGAATCTATCCATCCTGTTCAAAGATTCAAGCCTTTTAAAACTCTCTTCAAAACAATTCAAATAATTTCCTGGGATTTTGAGACATTATTACAAACAGACCAACATATATTGAGACCTTCGAATTGGCACTACTCATTGAGCAACAAAACACCCTATCAACTCGCAAATAAGCAAAAAATATTTCTCAATTGTGTAGAAAAAAATGACACTCGAATTATAAAATAAAAAGGTCAAAACTTTAAAATTACTGAATGTCATCACAGACAGGAGGTTGCATTATTAAGAGTTCTATAAATTAAAAAAATAAAATAAAAGAAAATTCCAAAAAAAATAAATCAAAACTGTTCTCTCACCTCCTAACCACAAAACATTTTTTCTTTTTGCTTCTAGGGCCGAGTTACAAGTTTATGACAAACACGACGCCTATATGCTCTATCAGCAAATTATGATGCCTGTAAATTCAAAATAAAATTCTGGCAGGTAGAATTGGTTCTGATATTGATACAGGCAAGAAAAGCTTGTTTTCAACGCTTTCCAGCAGCTTTCCTCAGAGGTGGTGCCGAGTCCTCATCATCCGACTCAATATCACCATATTCCCACATTCTGAGTCTCTTGTCTCGTGCTTCTGTCTGAAATTTTTCAAGTTCATCCATAGCCAGCTGCCTATCCTTGGACTCCCATTTCCTCCTTTTCTCCAACCTCGCGAGTCCATCCTGAAAATTTTACATATTTGATTACATTTTAACAGTTAGCTGAAACAGAAGCAATATAATCTCGACAAACCATTGATTCTGTTATGGACTAAACCCTGATGTCCTATATGGTTCACCATGACCACTCCATTTCAGACGTGGAAGAAGATTTGGTGGGGATTAAAATTAGCTTTTTTTAGTAGATTGTGATAGAAGTTTTTGAAATGTGTAGTTGAAAAGTTGTGAGACCTATAAAAGATGTGGTTAATATTGATTGTTTAACTTTGACTTAAATTAAAATCAGATTTTAATCCGTAGCAAATGGACTCAGGTCAGGCACCTCTCATACATGCAAAAAAAAATCCTTTATATAGTAGGAATACTAGGAAACCTTGTAACTGGTCTACCCACAACCATTATACAGACCTATAATCAATTTCCAAGGTAATCTATTAAACAGGTAATAACGAGCTATATCTGTTGACCATCTATTTGGATACACCATATACTGAAAGGATGTTGGGATGCTGATATAATTATTCACAGTACAGGACACAAGCTTAAAGAGCAAGGTTGACAAAAAAAATTCCACAGGAGAAAATATATGTTCGAACCTGTAGCATGGTAGCATTTATGCTGACATCAGCTTCTGGATCGACCAAAGTCACCATGAATATGGTGCCAGTTCCTTGTCCTTTCACTTTGCCACCTGAAGTGTCCCTTTCTTCAATTATGGCCTTGAATTCTTTTGGACTACTTAGCAAGTGTTCACTAAGACGAAATGCTGCTTCTTGACCATAATCATCCTCCAAGTTTGGAACCTTGAGATATGCAAGACTGCAAAGCTGAGCCAGGCCTGGGGCAGAGGATACTGAAGGATCAATAGGACGCAGCTGACTGAAAGTAACTGCTTCTTGGTTTCCATAATCGATGTAAAACACCTCAAACTTGTCATTTGAAGACTCAACAACACCCCGGGGAGCATTTACAATCTTCATATTCCAATTAAGAGTGCATCAGAAAGATTAACAATGTAATGATGTAATTAGAATGATAAAAATAATATGGACAGAACAACAAATTGATAAGATACATAAAAGATGGACTAAAAATATTAACAATAAGGATTAGTTACTAACACAACTTACAGAGAATTCATCTTCATGGCTCAACAGATATTGAATGAGAAAACAGAAATGAATTACAGCATAAAGAAAATGACTAGAAATAAGCATAAAACTACAGAAATTTTTTAACAGTTCTGGTGATGAATTGTGCCATTTGCAGGGGAAAGAAAACTCACAAGATCTAGAATAACAAGTGACCACAAAATGGCAATGGGACAAGTTCGGGCAACAAATTACAAGACACATAAATTTCCAAGGATTATAAAAATATATTTGAAAAATACCCATCAATGTTTTAATATGTGCTACCATTATTTCAGAATGTTAACATTTTGTGGTATTTAAGTTTGATCACTTCCACTAAACATCCACAAGTGTTTAGAGTAAAAATATAGTGAGACTTTCTGAGGGTAGTTTCTCAATCCCAGCAGACGAACTTCCCAGTACATAACAAACTTGAATTAAAAACAAGCAAAGGATTTCAAGTTGCATACCATTGCACGGTTCCAAGAATTATCGGCACTAAATTGAGCAAGAACTATGTCACCCTTTTTGGGATTGAAGGCACCAAGTACAGGAGCTTCTTGAAGGTTTAAGGAAGCAAGCTGCTTCTGAATGGAGGCCACTTTCTGATCAGCAACTGATTGGACATAAAATTGACCACCTCCCATGACTTCAGTAACCACCACCTGAAGATAAATATATAGTAAGATATAACATGCGTCAACTTCAATACTGGAAGTGCCATAGCAAAATACATTCTATGCAGCACCTTAAGCTCTTCTTTCTGACGCCTTTCAATGGATGTACCATTAGAAACTTCTTCTCCTTCAACGTGATTCTCCCAGATCTACAGTAAAATACAAATTAGCAGCCAGTAGATCAATAACAATCATTTTTTATAAGAAAAAAGTCGCGTTACTCACCTTCAACTTCTTCATTTTTGCTGACTGCTCAGCCTGTACCAAAAGGTGAGCGTCAGGGATCCTGTCAGTGCCAAAGTTAGTTTGAAGCTTTGCTAATCCCGCTTCCAAAAGTGTGACTGCCACGTTGGTTCTGGCCTCCCACAATGTCCCCAAGAAAGTTCCAGTTCTGTCAACAGTTTCTACTTCAATCTGAGTGCAAGAAGAACATATTAATCTGGAAGCCATGCAAAAATATAAAGTAAAGAGTACGATATGAGGACTGCAATACCTCAACATCCCTCTGCATTATCTTCCGCCTCATAAGTGCAATGGCCTCATCAGAATACTGTTCATCACGACCTGGACATCTAACACCAGAGAACGAGAAAGCAATACTGCATGTTTCCTTTGGGATATACAGTTTAAACCGATGACCACTAAGAACATATTCAACAACTGCAGTCATCCTCCTAATGCGTTGTAAAAATGGCAAGAAGTCTCTCGCTTTCTTTGCAGAAGCCTAATGAGCCATTACAATAAAGAACCAGTAAGTTACACGAAAAAGAAAATAGCCAAAAGCTAAGACGAAGGGCAGACTACTAACAGTTAGCAGGTCCGTTATGTGCACCACGGGAGGGTCTTTGGCCGAATGCATACCCTTCTTGCCAGCAATAGCACGAGATTCAGCAGCAAGAAGGGCATCATAGTAGTTTGATCTCTCCTCAAAATCTCGGTGCCTGATTACATTCGCAAAACCACGGGCAACCAAAAGCTCAGCAATATTTGCACCCGTCTGCTGACTTCCAGCAGCAGGTGCAGTACCATCTCCATCCTTAGGTGGATTAACAAGGAAGATAGATCCAAAATCCATCACTCTTGAATCAGTTGCCCCAGCTGCAGCAGTAGGTCCATCTGCCATGGCGACCTTCCTCGAATATTCCATAGAAACTTGCACCTGAAAAGATGTACATTACAATAAAAATTGTGATGAAAATCCAAAAGAGTAAATCACACCATAAATTTCAGACCACATACTTGACGGCCAATTAGACGATTTCTCAGAAATTCCTTTGCTTCGCGAGCATAAGGAGCAGGTTTTTCATCTCTACGAGGGTTACCCATTTTAGGACACCTAATACTTGAGAGATTGACGCGCCGCTCTGCAGATGGATCTCCGAATGGCAAAGAGTCGTCAGCAACAATTATGCAATCCCCACTAACAACTTCAATTACCTGCAGAAACCCAAATTATAGAAGAGTGCAAAATGAAAGAAACCAGAAGATGAAACAAGGCAGGCAACACCAGGAACCGAAACTTACTTTTCCTGTAAAGTTCTGGTCATGAATGGCCTTTGAGTTTGTGGCTGGGGGCACATAGTTTGTCCACATCCTCAATCGATTCTTCTTGGCTAGAAGTTCAGCATTCTTCAACCTCCGCTTGGCATCATCTTCCAGCAAACATGCACTCCACTCCACATATTTAGCTAAACCCTGCATAAACATGATAGGGAAGAAAAGCTGACAGTAAATCCCACAAGCGGAAAATTAAGGGCATATGCAGTAAAGTAGACATCAAGTAGCTTTATAGAAACTTCTTGCATTATTAAAATTACAAATAAATTATTAAGCACCGATGAAAATCGACATTCAAATTAGCTTGTTTGGCCTATGAAATAGAAACAAGGTATAGTCCTGTAAATCATTTCGGGAGACATATAATGAATGGAAAAGGCACTCATTTCAACATGAATAGAAAAAGAAAAGAGTTGATTTCTTTAAAAAGTTAAATGTTGGGCCTGTTCCATCACATCTTCATTTGGAGAAACTTGCATCTTCTGTATCAAGCTCATCCCAGACAAGCAATCAAAAGGATAATTATAAGCATTTGGTAAGAAAATTTTATTTCAAAAGGATATTTTTATTCTGCACTCCCACTTACAATTAGCACTGAACATTGCAATTATTATAACATGATTTTTTTTTTCTTTTCCCTCTACTACAAGCAATTCAGGAAGGGGACAATGACAATGGTTTAGAAAACAAAATTATTTATGATGCAGATTCAACATATGATTGTAAAATGACTTACAGTTTCAACAAGTTCCAATGCCAGGTCCTTGGCTGATTCACCGTCTGAATAATATACTGAACCAATTAGATTGCTAAATTTGTCAATGCCCTCCAAAACAATCCTGACCTGGGAGCCACCCAATAAGAATTGTAAGCCTATCCATGAAAATCAAGTACCAATGCAACAGCCATCAGAAAATCACTCACTTCTCTATTCAAAACACGAATCTCTGTGAAATGTTTGGCTTCCCTCCCAAATGGATCAGGAGCAACTTCAGTAGCAGACGTGGAAGAAGCAGCAAGTCTTTGTGCCGATGTCAGCGGGGCACGAGGTTCAATTGAAACATCATTTGGCTCATCAGAGGATAATTCAGTTTCAATTACAACCTCAGATGCAGCCCTTCTGCCCATAGAAGGAGACTGATAAAACAGACAAAAATTCAATTCAGAAACCAGTTGGAAAAGAGAATACCCAAATTGCATTAAGCTACGAGTACATACCTGAATTCCCGCAACAAATACTTGGACAAACTGAAAACTTGGAAGCAAATAAACACGAAGTGTGCTCCCGTCTCGGACCTGCTCTACAATAACTTCCATAGGACTACCTTTGTTCGAGGCCAAGAGGCCCATAGCATCAAAATTGCCAGAATCTCCTATGGCTGACGGAGGGAGGCTCCTAATAGATGCCTCAGAAGCACCTGGATTCTGGATCCAACGAGAAAGAGGCCATGATTAGAGAACATGACATCCTTTGTATAATGATTAACGATAGAACATCAAAGTATGAAACCCACATGACTGGAAAATTAAAACGATGATATATTGGGATACGGGGAATAAGTTATGCTGAAAACATATTAAGACATACTCTGTTCCAACGACCTAGACCTTGTTGCTTGGCTTGCTCTTCGAGACGTAGTAACTCGGCTAAAAAAGGACTGACTTCTCCTTTTTGTTGACCTTGATCTCTAACCTACAGCCAAAGAATTCAAGTGATGCCAAAATTTTAAATACAAGTGTTGGCAACATAAATTTTCGGGGGGATTAAAGAACTAATGAATATCGTTCTTTATAAAAGAATAGAACATAAAACCTATTAATGAAACTAATTAGAACTAAGAACCTTCCCAATACAAAGCTTCCTTAAAAACTCTCTGCTCTCCCATGCAAATGGCTCATCAATACTGCCTCTTCGGGCCTAAAACCAAAAGGAAAATTCAAATGATATGAGAAAGAAAATGAAAAGTGCATGAAACATAGTACACAACATACATCAAATGAATGACTCTTTATTAATTAGTCCAGCCAAATTAAAGAAACTCACTGACTTCAAATCAATAAGCAGTGAACCATAGGATAAGAATGTAAGCTATAAGGTGAATATGAGACAATTCATCCACAAAACTGGGCATAGCTCTGCAATTACAATATATATTTTCTTATTGAAATTCCAGCACAACAGTAAGAACAATGCCACCATTCATTAAAATGATGTAAGCCATAACAAAATCTCAAGGAATAGACAGGTCAAGATTATCCAAACCTATATATTAACTACAGCTCTTGCATGAGACCACATTATTAGAAAATAAAAAGATTAATCTATTTCTCTCCCAAAAAGATACCACAAAGAAATTAAATTCATGAGAACTTCAGAACAGAGTAAATATATCCAGTAAACGTTTTGTTCAGTTCACAATTGAATGATCAGTTGGAAAACAAACATCAAGCTTAAACTAACCGAAGATATAGAGTGAACATACCAATTTAGGTGCTATCAGAGATGACAAAGTGATTGTTTTCTCTGGGGGAATCTCTGCCTCGCTACCTCCCACTATGACCAAGCTATCACCGGATGGAACAGCTTTCACAATCCCCCTAAACCATCCAGAGTTTCCAGCTGTCGATGCCATTTCAACAGCTCGAGGTCTGCAGAAAGGTAAAAATTAAATCAACATTGGATGAGGAACTGAAACTGTTTCAATCCATTATTTGATACCCATGTGCATACAAACTAGCTTCTACAATCAGAAATACCACTTTTGAGTCCCAATAACAATTACAGTTAAAGCAGTCGATACTTTCATTTGCAATCATAAATTCTTTAACCACATTAATTAATAGCCCAACAAAATTAATCAAAGAATCTAACTTCCAAGGCCACACTTAATGCTATCATCGAGAAAGTCGCAGTAATATACGCAAAACAAGAACCCAAATAAAAGCTTAAACTGTCAATTAGAAGGAACAAACTTTTAACTAATGAGCCATGTCAAAAACAAAAACTTGATAAAAATCTGAATCTAAACTATTTAATGTCTTAATGGCCAATAAATGATAAAACCTTAACCACCCACATCAAGTATAGTGCTATCACTGAAAAATTGCTTTACCTAAAAACCCCAAAAGAAAAGAACAAAGTTCCAATTAAAAAGATCAGACCTTTAATAATGGAACCTATTATATAAAAAAAACTTTGGTAAAAACGCATCTAAATTATTTAAGTGTCTTAATTAATAGGCCAAAAAAAAAGAAACTCGTACACTGCTACCATTGAGAAACTCAATTTAAGAAATAAGAAACAAATAAAAGACACAGTTCCAACTTCAAAGATGAAACCTTTAGCTGATGAACTTGGTTAGATACAAAAATTTGGTAAAAACAAAATCTTTGACAGACAACCCATCTCTACAAACGAATACAAATGTATCATTTTTAAAGATCTACCAGACAAAGAAAATTCATAATACACAGTAAATTACAGATAATATAATAATCTAAAGATCCCAGTCAGAAAAAAATTCCAAATCTTCAAAATTCAATCTTCTAATTTCACAGCCAGTTCAAGAATTATTATTAGCATGCAAATCAACGAATCTCGCAATCCCACAAATAGTAATATGTGAATGACGGTACAGATCTATGATTTATATAAATTTGCAAGCAAATCGTGGAATATGATTTAGCCTAATGCAGCACAATAAAGATTGTACACAAACGAGACAGAAACCAGAGCAAAATTCAGAATATACATAAACCCAAGCAAGCAAACAAGACTCCAAATTTCACAGAGCGACACCAAGATCTGAGATACATAAATCAAAAGATCAGAACAGATACGAACTTACCAATAAAAACAAATTCACAACAGCTAATAAATAGCTCCAAAAACAGAGATCTGAGATATGTACCTTAATTATAAACGAAATTCAATTAATCCGAGATCGAGAGAATTAAAGATAAAACCAATCGATCTGGTTGAACCAATTACGACTTCATGCAAATCGATTCACTTCAAAAATCAACTTGGAAAATTTCCAAAGAGCGAAATTGAAGAGATCTGTAGGCGTCGGACGGCTGATTAAACGAAACCGCAGCGTAAAATGTCAATATATAACTGAGGACAAGTAGGGATAGTTATTGGAATTATCTCCTTTTTAAAAAATTACTCAAAATGCCATGCTCTTTGTGTATAAATATTTTTACTCATTTAGGTCAAAATTCTTATTGGACATTTTCATTTTTACTGTTGGATTTGGTAATAGGCGTTGCAACTTTTTATTGTACTTGATGGATAAGGACTGACCGATTACGACAATGGACTGCCACGTGGATTCAACAGCCAATCATAATTATACACGTCGAATTAGCATGTCACCAATTTCTTTCCTAGTGCGCTGTAATTAATATGAAAATTCAATTTGTGTGATTTTATGTAAAAGGATAAATAATTTGAAAATTATTTTTGTAGATTTGTGAAATAATGTTTTTATAAGATCGTACAATTAGTTCAATAGATCTTTTTAAGGTAATGGCAAATTCGTTGACGCTCGATACCTTTGTAATTATAAATGTTAGATTTATTTCAATTCAATAATGTGAAATCTCGAATTGAACACGTAAACATTTGTTTATTAAAAAACCTTTACGTTGACTTGATCGGAATCTAAGATTACTTAATCATTATTCAAAATTTTGACTGAAAAGGTAATAATAAGCATAATAACCATGTCGACGAGTTTTTTCCCGCAAATTTTCAAAAAAAATTTATTTATTGATAGTAAAAGAAAACATTTTTTTTTTCAATGAATAAAATATCTACTATAAATGTAACAATATATTTGCATTTCTAAAAAATAACAATTTTATTAACTCTATTGTAGTAAAGCAAAATGAATATAAGTTATTATTATAAATATTAAATGTAATATATTTATATTAATTATGTAACTTGTGTCGTGTGGTTCGTGTGGATATTAGTTATAATTTTTTGGAGTAATGTCCATTAGCCATAAGGTTCTATATATTTGTATTCCTTGAGAAATTATTTAGTTAAATTTTATTTATTCATTTATGTTTGTTAATAAAATAATACCATTTATTTATTATTTTGGAACAAATATGAAAGAAAGATGCTGGCGTGACGCCTCCAACAGGGGGCGTCACATTGGCCTGTCCCTCAAAATCTGTCAAAAATATCTGTTTGAGTAGGTTATCTGATACGAAATGTCTGGAGATCCATAATCTATACATATCAATTATTTGATAATAAAATATAGAATTCACGTATATTAGTAAAGATTTTTTAGGGAGAGAAAACTAGTATCAAGGCACATTTGTCGAGAAATTGTTTTTTTGTGCATCCTTGAATAGGTTCCGACTCGATCTCGACCTATGCACCACGAATGGACTTACCTGTTTTGACACCTCAATTTGGCCACAAAATGTCTTATCGAATCCCTCAAAAACCCGGAGCTTGCACTTATCGACCGTAACAACGTCAGCTACTGGGCGTCGCGGACCATCTCTGTTTTATCAGCAATTCTATAATTCTCAAAGCAAGCTTGTAATGAAATCTGCAAAATTATGTCTTTTCTTAAGATTTGTAGGAGGCTCCAAATCTCTGGAGCACCTCCCGCGATCTTCTTCTCCCAAATTTTGAGCTCTGTAGGCAGTCAACCCCGAATTTCATCTTTTTGTCGGTCTCTTTTGCCATACAACCTCACTGAAGCATTTCGTCGAACATCTATCTCCAACTGTAAACTGTTCCGTCATTTCTCCACCCTTCAACACTCAGACAGCCAAAATATTTTCCAAACAATCGACTTCGATGAATTGGTAAATGAAATTGATGAAGATATCCCACTGGGTCTACCTGAATTCCTTGAAACTGTCCGCAAAGCCAAGAACTTTGCATGTGCAAATGAAGCAATGTCCTTTTTAGATAATTCTGGTGTGAAGCCGAGTAAAGATTTGATCTTTTCAGCTATTTGGGCTTTAAGAGAAGAGTGGAAGCTGGCATTTTTAGTGTTCAAGTGGGGTGATAACTGGAAATGTGTTGTGGAAAAGACTCGGTGTTTGATGATATGGCTGCTGGGTAACCATCAAAAGTTCAATACTGCTTGGACACTGATTCATGACCTTTATAAGGCTTCAATGGACCCTCAACAAGCAATGTTCATCATGATTGACAGGTGAAAATTAATTTACTTCTTCAAGCAATGCACTGCTTCATTTTAGATTCTTTTCCTTATTTAATTTTAATGCATTGTAAAGATTGTAGAGGTACTAACTTTATGAATCTTTCTTTAGTTCTTACTAATAGCTGTTTCTTATTTGTCTACTTGAACATTAAATTTTAATTGCTCAAAGCCAGAATCTCGTGTTAATTTTCTTTCTCTGACACTTTTGCTTCATCATATGGAGAACTGAACCTGTTCATAGCAAAGTGTAGCTCAATTATATTATTATGTGCTTGTCTCTGGTAATTGTTATATTATTTAAGAGATTTACTATGGACGCAAACATTCTGGATGTGTTTGGTTTGATTCCTTTGACAGAAACATTTTTCTAAGTATGCATTATTTAATGCGTGCTGATTCCATTTGTTCATATTTACGAACTCAAATGTAACCTGATTACTCATTGTCACATATATATGGTATTAGGTTCATCTGTGTAATCGAACACGGATGACTATCTAATAAACTGAGGTGGGATTTCTCTGTTCTCTGTTTTTTTGCTGTTTTTTCTATAAATAAGAATTGACTTCAAAAGTCGACTCTTGTTTTGCTGAACTGTCACAGATAACAAACTTTCTTCTCTAGATATTTGTTACAGTTCATCAAGCTTTAAGCTGCTTTGTCAAATTCCGTGTGAGGTCTTATTCATGAGGAGTTTAATGAGGAGTTTAAGGCATTTGTTACTGCATTCAGCAGTAGAAAGAGAATTCTGTTGGAAAAAATGGGCTAGTGAATGATTTTGGCATAAAATTTGAGTGGGACCCGTTGGTCCAATTTGGAAAATCGAAGTTGATTCTTGTTATCCTCCGTGAGAGCATCGAAACCATATATTTATTTGCCAAAATTGATGAATGGATGAATGAGAAATTGGAGCTCAAAGATGACCATTGAAAGATAGTTTATGTGGGAAATAAAACTAATCTCATATAGGAAAATGAAGAAAGTATGAATCACTTTATATAGGATTACAATTTGGAAGGGTGTAATCATGTGTAGAAAAGAGGCTCTCTTCACGTGCACACATGCGGTGGTGCAAATCACGGACTGAAATAGCTTTCGGACCTTGAACTTGTGTGCGGGCACGACCTGCGTACACGAATGTCGGATCGAATAGAGCAACAATTGGCTCGTTTGGAGTGTCTACGTTTTGCAATTTTTTGCTTTCTCCAATTGACCTTTGAGTTTCCTGAAACTACCAAAACTTCCAGAAATTGAAGCAACTCCAGTATTTATTGCTATAAAGTTAATAGGCATATTTAAACCTATATAAAATGTCATTTTTCCAGCAGTTCCAACATATACAGAAACACACACAAAAATAGGAAAAAAACATTCTGCAATTTTTTTTGTTTGCATCTCGATTTCTGTTCAGCGTCGTCATTGTGGTAATATTGTTCGGATACTAGTCAGATCGTCGGAGTAGTATCTGTGGTGCTCAGATTCTAAGGGTTTTACCATTGTATCCTAAGAAATAGACGCTGGGATTAGACCTCAAGCATTTATGGTGAGAGGGTAAACTTGTTTTAAGGAAACTGTGTTCGTACAGGCCTCAAGTTGAAAATTAATCCATTATTTATTTATTTTGTGATTATACCTTTATAATTTATTCTTGCAGATTTAATTATTTAACGTTTATCTGTGTAATTCATATAATTTGCAGTTTTATTATGTTATCGTTCTATTTATGTTTATTAAAATTAATCTGCGTTAATTTTTATTTATGTTAAAAGTAAAATCTGGAAAAAAAATATTCTGTAATTTTGGTATGTGTAAGAGCAAAATCGGTATGTCAACATACGGTATGTGGAAATACGGTATATATGAAAAGGGAAAAAAAATATGTACAAATACGGTTAAAAGCATATACGGTAAGTTGCAAATACGGTAAGTTAGCTGCAAATATTGTAAGCTATCTGCAAATACGGTAAGCTATCTGCAAATACGGTAAGCTATATATACGGTATATTGCATATACGGTATGCTCAAAATCGATATCTAAACTACATATACGGTATGTGATAATTCAATTTCATTAATACCACTATATTCCAACAAATTCATGGGTTAGGGGTGGGAGCCTAATATGTAGCGAAAAATTGAAGTTGTTCAAGACTAAATTTTAATAAAGAAATGTGCCCCCTCTCTAAGAGCTCGCTGTATCAAAGCCAACAAAGATTTGAGTTCAAGTCTCATCATTAATGAAAATTGTGCACATCAGTCATATGATAAAAAAATGAATCTGATCTTACAATTTAAGGCTTGTTAAAGACTGAATTGAAATAAATATATGTGTCCCCTTCTAACTGTATGATGCCGGTTCAACAAAAGTTAATTATGGTTTCTTGTGAAAGGTTTTTAGGACAAAAATTATCCCTTTCACTTTGCCACTGTTGGTAGTTTTCAACTGTCTCAGGGATATGGAGTTTTCACGATCAGGTTGGATGTGGGGGATTAGCGCATCAGGGATTACATAAAAACATCTGAGAAAGACGGAACTCGAGAAGACTGGTTAATTAAAGAAAAGAAGAGGAAGCTTGACAACGGTAAGCATGGGAAAAAGAAGAACTCAATTGGTTGGCCCACCTAAGAGATGATGAGATTCTTGATCACTTTGATCGAATTTTGAAAAGGCAGAGTCAATTGCCTTCTCTTTGACGATGGATTTTTGTTTATTGCATAAACTGACCTAGGGAAATCCATTAACTAAGCTATGAACCATGAATTGTCTTGAGTGCTTCACCTTTAGGCAAATTCAAATGACAAGAATATAAAAATTTCCATATTATCAACTTACCATTGAAATGAAATATGTGCTTATTTTTAGGTTAGGAGATCTCTTAGGATCCATTTGATTGCAAAGATGGAATTGAGTTGGTTGGAAAACGAATTCCAGTGAATTGAATTGCCTATAATTGTTTTTCTGGAAATTGTAAATTATTGTGTTTGATTGGTATAATTTTCCACGTGAAAAATGTTGAAATAAAAGTATTTTTTGATATTCGTTTGACTTTGTTTTACATGAAAATTGTCAATTAAAAGGATAGAATTTACTGGTATTGGGGATGACATTAGTTTCCATCGCCAAAAAGCCAAAATAAATAATTCAAGAAAATCATTTATTTTTTAGTGTTCGTTTGACTTTATTTTATATGAAAATTATCAATGAAAGAGAAATATTTTTTTACAATAATTATTAGAATTGGTTTCCATTGCCTAAAAAAAAATGGAAAAAAAAATCGTTACAGTAGCCGGGAATTCCAACAATAATTCTTAGAATTGGTTTCCATTGCATAAAAAAAAAACAGAAAAAAAAATAAATCGCTACAGTAGCCGGGAATTCCAATTCTCACTATATATGGTGAGAATTGGAATTCAACCAAATCAAGGAATAGCACAACTTCCAATAAAAGTTAGAAACCAATTCATGGAAAATCTTGTGAATCAAACACTACATTTTGGGTGGAAAATGGTTCCACCAAATCAAGGAATAGCACAACTTTCAATAAAAGTTAGAAACCAATTTCATGGAAAATCTTGTGAATCAAACACTACATTTTGGGTAGAAAATGGTTCCACCCATTTCCATGGAATTGGGATATGATGGTGCCGTTGTGCCTCTTGGGCATCGTGATCATTGGACGATGCTGAAAAATATATGGCCCGATGCGATATTCCTGCCAACTTCGAAAAGCACCGAGGGAACATAAAAGGAGAAGATAATGTTATATATTTATACCATAAATATAAAATGTGAAAGAAATAATCAAATTAGATAAATTTTGGTTGAATCAAACACTACCTTATTTCTATTCTGACACATGGTCTCAAGTTTTGGAAACTCTCTAATGAGGACTCTGCCAGACTACTTAGGATTCGTTGATGGAACTGCCTGAAGTAGACTACACAAGACCCATGAACACTAGCCCGTGGGTAGTGTCATGTTCAGACATTAACAAAGACCTAACTTCTCAGGATCTCAAAATATTAGACATCTAAAATACTATTTATTCTCCTTTTTCTTCACCGGTTACGCACCCTATTGTTTTTATTGTACAAGAACTGCCCAGTTTTGTTTAATATCTGGAACTTTTGCCATTAAGCTGATAGAACTCTGTTGATCTTTTTTGCATTTCAGTGGACTTCAAGTTAGAACATTACCTATTTGTATTAGATAAAATTCGGTGAAATGATTTATTCATTATTCATTTTGTAAGTTTAATATAAAATAACATTGATTGTATTTTTCGTTCCTTTTTATTGCTTTTTTCTTATTATTGTCTTCTAATACAAGTTTATAGATATGCAGCAGCAAATAATCCAAGCAAGGCTATTGAAACATTCAAAATATTTCAGAAGTTTAAATTTTCTCCTGATCAGAGAACATTCTTCTCATTCTTGGATATTCTTAATAAACATGGAAACATTGAAGAAGCTGAAGAATTCATGTTTCTCAATAAGAAATTCTTCCCGTTGGAAATTGATAGCTTTAACATAATTCTCAATGGGTGGTGTAATATAGCTAATGATATATATGAAGCCAAGAGGGTTTGGCGGGAAATGTCCAGATGTTGTATCTTGCCTGACGGGACTTCTTATACACACATGATTTCCTGCTTCTCAAGAGCAGGTAATCTATTTGACTCACTTAGATTGTACGATGAAATGAAGAAAAAGGGCTGGATCCCTGGCATGAAAGTGTGTAATTCTTTGATTTATGTACTGACTCATGAGAATTGCCTGAATGAAGCTCTTAGAGTTGTAGATCATATGAAAGAATCTGGTATGCAACCTGATTCTACAACATACAACTCTATGATTCTTCCTCTTTGCAAATCAGCAAAGTTTCTGGACGCAAGAACTATATTAGCTAGGATGATACAGGATGATGTCAACACAACTAGTGATACGTACCATGCATTTCTTGAGGGTGCTAATTTAGAAGGAACTTATGAAGTTTTTAATCTTATGAAAAAAGCCGGTCTTGGTCCCAGCAGGCATACATTTCTTCTTACACTCGGCAAGTTTCTTAAAATCGGGCAACCAGAAAATGCATTGAAGATATGGTCGAACATTAAACAGTACAAGATAGTGCCGGATTCTGAACATTACTGTGTGTTAGTGGAAGGGCTAGTGAAATGTAAGTTGTTTGTGGAGGCTACAGAACTGTATGCTGAGATGAGATCTAATAGACTAGCGGATGACCCAAAGTTGAAGAAGCTCTTAAGCGAACCTCTTCAAGATGGTATTCATGCACTGGAGGGACAAGGGCAGACAACAGTTGTCAGACGTATTCATAAAGGTAAAGGACTACAATATGGGAAAGGCAGTGGAAACCGAACTAGAAGACCTGGTAAGCAATCAGAAAAGGAGGGATCTAATGGGACTTAGAATTTAACGTTGCTGCAAATTCGTTTCAGTAATATCTAAAGGACATCCTGATATCAGGACCAAATTGTGCAGAGGCCAGGTGCTGCTAAATCTTATATTCACTGCTAAACCTAATTCCTTGCTTTCAGTAAACAAGTATCTCTACTTGCTATAGGAAGGGAAGTTTCCGCCAGTCCATTTCCATAGAGAATGCTTGTCGAGTTTGAAATGTAATTTTGGAAGAATATAAGTCCTCTTTTATGGCAACTTACTATAGAACTGTTCGCAATTCTTATAGTACAATCAATATAATTTGTTTGGACCATAAAGACCAACGTTAAGGAGAATTAAGCTTATATGATTGGATGGATTATGCAGTTAGTTCTAATATCAAGGAAGGCCTATCGAAGCAAGAACATTGGGTAACACCCATTTTAACACATGTTTGGTGCGCTCATTGGATTTTCATGTTCTTTCTCAGTATTATATCCAATGTCATAAAGATGAGCTTATTTTTTTAAATAAAGTTAGCCTGCAATGTTCCCAGTGAAATCATGTGGGTCTTAACTGTTTCTTCCTAAGGGAGAATGATTCCGATATGATACTTTGTATAGAATTTTTGGCGGTCTATAAATCTGAAGAAAGTAGAATTTATAAAATCAAAGAAACTGCCTCAATGTAATTACAGACATGATTAAAATGACAAAATTAGAGAGAAATCACAACCAAATGAACTGAAAGAGACGAAGTACTACCTGAAAACAAAACATTTAGGCAAAGACAATGGTAAGGGAAAAAAAAACATCAAAAAAATTATTAGTGGAGGCTTATACGATAGTGCTGATCCATTTATTTTTTTGGGATAGACGATGAACCACATTTGCACCAACACCAGATCCTTAGGGATGGCTCGGATGGCAACGGGGCGGCCCTCCTTAGACGGGGTGAGGCAGGGTGGGTTTAATTTAATTTAATTTAATTTTGCACTTTTTACATTTTCAAAAATTTCGAGTTATGTCATTATTAGATAATAAAATACAAATTCAAAATGAGTTTTTTTACGGGTAAATTGTTTAGAAATAAAATTATTTTAATTTTTTTTCCCCTTCACAGGGCGGAGCATCCTTGCCCCACCCTGCCACATGCCCGCAATGGGGTGCCCCATCAACCCGTTGGGGGCGGGTTTTTTTGCCATCACTAGATCCTATGTCATGTTCTGCTACAAATTCTTTGCCATGAGTATCTGCATGATAATTCACTTCTCTGCTTGTGCCTGCATATAGATAATATTATTGTCAAGTGGAAATGAATATCACAACATAAAACACAAGGCACTATGATTTTCTTGCTCGAATTTCTGGGAATTTTCGAGAGCCAAGCTTGGTAGGAGTAGTTGGGCACATAAGAGGACGAGAATCCATGCAATAAACTCGTTTTCTTGTTTTATGGCGGCAGGAGGAAAATGATGGGAGTTCAAGGCTTGGATATATAGGGTCTGCAAACTCTCCTTTCTTGTGGGGACTAAAAACTGAAAAGTCACACAAAGTCCCGAGACGGTAAAAAAGTGGCTAAAATTTATTGACAGTTCAACACAAACGAAATTAAACTTAAAAAAGTAAAGGAAAAAAAGCTAAACGCTTTACAAACATGCGCAATAAACTAATTTTAAATATCTAGCCAAACACAAGTATAGCTTCCAATCAAAATGATAGATAAAAGATTTTCGATCGACCCAAACCGAGTCAAAGCTTAAACCAGTAAGATAATTGACTGCTACCATACCTTATGGTGATGTTCTGGTGTATTCTTAGTAACTTAGCAGATAAGATAGATACTAATCTAAGCTGAAATTGACAAGATATTGCAGGGGGTTCTTAATTTGTTGGTGTTCTTATTACTCCCTCCGTCCTAATTATAAAGGCTGTGTTTCGTTTTTCTCTTGTTTCAAAAATATAGGCTCGTTTCCTAATTTAGAATATTTTGTTTTGTTCCTTGACCAATATACACTTATTCAATTTTCTTCACTTAATATGTCAATTTCTTGAAATCATCCAAATACACACATTTCTCACTTTTTGAAAACATGGAACAACTTTCATTTCTTCTTCTTCAAATTAAATCATTCAAATTGTTTACTAATTTCAACAATAATTTATTACTACACACTGAAAATTAAATAGAGGTAAACTAGGAAAGGTTTTGGCAAAATTAATTTTCTAATGATATTAAAGAAAATTTCTTAATCCGTGTGAAAAATGAAATAAGTTTATATAATTGGGACGAAGGGAGTATTATTTATTTATTTATTTGACCGAACCAGCTAAAATCTATCTTTTTAACATTGTCACTCTAAAAGGCTGAAAAGTGTGCTCTTAGATTTGGTATGAAGCAGAACGCATTACTATTTGTCTAGTGTAAAATGATTAGAAGTATATTAAATATTATAAAGCCTTGTTTACTTAGTTCCACTAGTTGGTTAATCCATTTAAGCAAGACTCTGACATGGCAAATAAGTGATTATAAATTGATAGAAATGAATGGTAAATAAATGAATAATACTTATAATAATTCTGTTATAGTTAAAGTTTCTTTGACAATTTTGTTGACATTGTATGATATGACAAATTTTTGCAATTGATTTTAGTAACACTTAACACAATCATTGATCTCGATTTTGACACCTCACACAATATCAAGAAAGGTGTACATTTTTAATGTACAAATAGAAGTCACACAAAGTTGATTTGACTTACAATTTAGAAATACTTACCAAACACATGGGTAAGCTTCATGTTAAGACGTTGATTTATTTATTTATTATTTTTTTTTAAAAAAATTAACTATTTAATTTCTTTGTATAAAATAGAGCGCATCATTATTTGTTTAATGTAAAATAATTAGGAATATGTTAAAGATTATAAAGCCATGTTTAGTTATTTATATTAGTTGGCTAATCCATTTAAGCAAGACAATCAACTCTCCCTGTCTCTGGTAACTGATCTTGCTCAAGAAGTGATCATAAATCAACAAAAATGAATGGTGAACAATTGAATTACGAATTATTCTTCTTGTACAACCATAGGGATGTCAACGAGTCGAGTCGAGCCGGCTCGCGAGCCAAAATTTGAGGCTCGAGCTCGGCTCAGGTAAAGTGAGCGGGCTTTTTTCCGAGCCTTGCTCGGCCAAAAAATTTTGCTTGACCCGAACTTTTGGCCTGAGCCTTTACAAGCCGAGCTCGGTAGACTCGCTTTTTTTACCTTTTTTTTTAAATATAATTATTAATGGCTGCCTTAAGAGATAGCCACAGCTGGCTGACTCTTAAGGCAACATTTTGCCGCCTAATATATATATATATATATATATATATTATTATTTTTTTTTTCAAACTCGCGGGCTAGCTCGAACTCGGCCCATCCTCCTAAAATGAGGTTCGGCTTGAGCCTTGGCCCGATTCTACCGAGCCTCGAGCCGGATGGACTAGGGCTTTCCCGAGCTGAGCTACGGGCGGCCTGAGTCAGTGAGCCGAATTGTCATCTCTATACAATCGGAATTGACAATCCCAGTTGACAATGTATTCACATGAGGGGGACCCACGATTTCTTTATTCAGCGTGGGCCTCCTCCCACGTGTCTAATCGTCATACGGGGTTGTCAATCCCGATTGTACACATAGCAGTACTGATTGGATTACTCATGAGCTCTTAAAAGTTTATTTGACCGATGATTTATAAACTCTTGCCAAATACAGGCGTAAGCACAATGTGAATCCCGTTGAATTTTTTACGA